CACTCCAGGCCTCTTGTCTCCCTAGGAAGCCCCGGTACCCCAGAGCTACATCCTCCCCACCCTCTCCTGCCCTGCCCACCCCCCAACTCCCATGATTCCCTGGGTCAGCCCCACCACATTCTCCCAGCAAGGGGAGAAGGGCTTACTTGCTTGCTTTCTGGTACAATGGCGCATGCACGCCGTGGATTCCCTGGGCACCCACCCACCGCTGAAATGCCCACACTGGGCTGCTTTGCCCTGACTTGCAGGGTCCTTCCTCCCAGAACTAAGACTGGGGATCAGAATGTCTGCCACTTGTGGCGGTTTATTTGTATCTTCTTTCTTTCCTTCTGCGAATTTTCATTATGTCCTTACTGCACGTGAAGCCCTGAGCAGGATGCAGGGATGAGCGGGGATTGACAGCGCAGCAGCTGCCCTCGTGGCCCAATGGAGATGTGAACAAGTGAACTCCAACACAATGGGAGGGCCCTTACCTGCAGCTGGAGAGACAGGGGGCTTCCTGGCTGAAATACCCTCTAAGTCGAGGCCTCAAAGCTGAAGAGGAGTTTTTTCCCAAGATGAATGCAATAGCTGGGAAGCAAGAAAAAGCCAGGTGTCATCTTGGGCAAAGCTGGTCTCAGTTTCTTCATGTCTAGAACAGACTCCCAACTCTGTTTGCCTCTGAGGATTCTGGAGAGGAGTGGCTAAGGATGTACTCTGTGAGATGGAAAATTCTGTTCCACTGATTATTGTTGTTAACGGAGGGCATTTGTTCCCCAGCCTAGACAAGGGGACAGAGTCCGTGGGAGGGGTGGGTCAGTGGTCAGGGTTGGGGGAGGCTGGAGGTGTGGGGAAGTGGAACCCAGGGCTTGCTCTGCAGAGCCCTTGTGGCTATTTGGGACTGGGATCCAGCAGCCATGGGTAGGGTTAGGGGAAGGGCCTCTGCCATCTGGCTGGGAGCTGTGGGGGGTGGGGGCAGCCCTGGAGTTGGTGGCTGCTGGCTGGGCTAAGCCTGGCTCCTATGGTCAGTGTCCAGCTTCCACATGGCCTGTACTTTCTGGGCCTTGGGCACCCCAGTCCATGGGGGTCAAGGTGAGACTCGAGGGGGTCTAGTCCCATTTCTGCACCTCTCAGGCAATCAATACCTGCTCTGCCCTCCCTGCCTTCAGCAGGCTTGATGCCAGAAGTGTCATTCTGGATCTGACCAGCAGGCCAAGAGAGCCCACAGAGCACCCCTCACCCATGAGGACTCTGGAGGAGACCTAACCCCGGGCAGGGTTTGTGCTCCCCTCACCAGTGGCCCCAACCACTGGGCTTCCTGCCCCCTGGGCCCTCCAAAGCTCATGCCTGTGGCCCCCATGCCCTTCCTGGCACAGCTGGCCTCCTGGTCAGCAGCTGCAGGGGTGAGTCACAGCTCTCATTAGAGCTTAATTAATCAATTGAGTTAATCAGACAGCTGAGGTGTGCTGTGGTTGCAGATGGGGGCTTAAAAGAGAAAGCCAGAGTGGGAAGGGCCAGGTCAGGTGAGCTAGGCTGGCAGGGCCAGGGTTGGCGGCGGAGTCTGGAGGGTTGCCCAGGGAGGAGGACACTAGCCAAGTCCGCACCTGAGGTCCCAGGAAAGGAGGATGAATGGGCTCAGCCAAGGCCCAGGATGGGCCCCCTGAAAGGTGCCCTTTGCTGGGTGCCAGAGACAGCTCCCGAGAAAGGAGAAAGCAGGACCTCTTCCACCCCAGCTTCCTCTCTCATTTTTTATCTTGTCACGTGTGTCTCTGAGAGCTATCTGAAATCCTTATTTGAATGGAGTGGGGAAAGGAAAGAAAGGAAAAAAAAGACAAAGAAAAGGTAGATCCTCACATTCCCAGGGATCCCAGCCCTATGGGGAAGGCAAATGTCTCCTGGGAACACAGACAGAGATCTTGACTCAGAGATAGAGAGACACGTCTCTACAGTCAAGCGGCTCAGGCTCTGGACATCTGCACTAGAGGGAGTGGGGGGGTCAGAAGGATCAGAGCCAAGGGCGGGCCAGAGTCCAGGAAGAATATTGGGAGGAGGGGAGCATGTGAGCAGAGTTTCCACTGTGATTTGCAAAATGTTGTTTTATCTGTTTTATTCTCACATCTGACCTTGGTTATTACCTTGGGGGCTGGGAGAGGTGGGCAAGATGGGAAGTGTGATGGGAAATGGATTCAGAGAGGAGGAATCGCAGATACCCCCAGTAGGCCCTGCCTTCCAGGAGCTTACAGTTTCCACAGGGCAACAAGCTAAGTGCCATCTCTAGTGACCCAGAGTCTGAGGCTGTGAGAGATAAGGGTCTAGGGTGTGGTACACGCAAGGGACTATGGGAAACGGACTAGAGGAAGGCAGGCATTTCTGAGGCTGAGAAAGGCTTCACAGAAGAGGTGGCATGTGAGCCAGGTTCTGCAGGCCTTGAGATACCTCTGAGTAGGAGGGGACGTGGAGAGGAAAGATGTTCCAGGAGAAAACCGCCTGGGTGCAGGCAGGGAGGGTGGGCTGTATACGGCAGGTTAGTTGGCCCCATAAGCTGGGCTGGAAACAAGGTTCCTGTCTGTGTCAGAAAGAGAGGGCTTCATGGTGGGAGGGCTCTTTAAATTTCACACCCATGTGTCTATAGCCGAATTTGGTAGGCAAGGGGAGTCACTGCAAGTCTCTAACTGGTAGGAATGGGTTTACAGCAGTTTTAGAAAGAGGATGTCTGTGGATTTGCTCTGTGCAGGATGATACCAAGATAGAAGAGACCTGAAACAGGAAGAGAGAGAGAGAGTGTGTGTGTGTACACTTGTGTATGTGTGTATATGTGGTTATGCATATATATATGTGTGTGTGTGTATATGTGAGGGTGTGTGTGTCTAGAGCAGTAGTGCTCACTCTTTCAGGAGTCACAGATCCATCTAAACCTTGACAAAAGCTTAGACCCTTAGTTTAGAAAAATGCACAGTCTCAAGGTTTAGCCTTCAATGATGGGGATAGGAGGTGTGTTCACAGATCTCCTGAAACCCATTTGCTGGACCTTCTAGGGTTTAGATCTCCTAAAACCCCAGCTCTCCCCTTTAGTTGCAGAGTCTGCAGGCTATAACTGAAGGCTCACCATGGCCCTCAGGCCCCAGCAGACGAGCTGGGGGCGCTAGGTCCTAGGCAGCTAGAGCCTCTCCCCACAGCCTTCCCCTGGCAGGACAGCTCTGCAGCCAGGACAGGGAGGACCAGTGGGTAATAGGGGCTGAGGCCACTTGGACACAGGACCTGCCAGCCCGGGTGTGAGAGTTCCAAGCTGCCAGGCCCCCTTCCCTGGCTTCCAGCATAAGCAGAAAATGTCAAGCGAGACCCAGGAGGGCTGCCTCCCTGCCAGCACTGAGTGTCCTTCATGAAATTGCCCTGAAACAGTCCTGTTCTCTCCTTCCCACGAATCCTAGTGCTCAGAGCTGCTGAGAAACGGGACCCAGGTGTCCCGGCCCCAAAGCAGGGAGCTCCAGCTAAGCCGTTTCTGGGTGTGCTGTGTGGTTCCTGGGCAATCACACCTTTCCTGAGCCTCTGCTCCTGCCCTCTTCCTGCAGCAAAATCTCGCCTCCCCTGGAAGTAGGGTGGCCCCTGCAGACCCGGACAACATGCCCAGCAAAAGCCACCTAGGATGGGCGGCCTTGGGAGGGGCTCCCCTACCCTCCCTTCTAACTTTCTCTTTTCCTTGCACATGCTCATGGCTTCCCAAGCATACATTCTTTGTGCGGGAAATATTTTACCCTTGCTGAAACAGTGTAGATCATGATCATCCCTGTTTGATTGACAGTGGAGCTCAGACAGGGGCCTTGCCTCAGATCCCACAGCCGGAAAGCAGAAGCACAAGGAATGAAAAGTTTCCAAGCCCAGCTGGCAGGCTCTTCCCTCTACACTAGGCTGCTCCAAGGGCCGGGGAATGTCAGAAATGGGAGCTCGGTGTCCACCCCAACCCCAGGTCCTGCCCAGGGGATTGAACCCAGGACCTTGTGCAAGCTAAGCATGCACTCTACCACTGAGCTACACCACACACCTTTGCACATTTTTAATGTGGCTACTAAAACATTTCAAAGCTCATATGTGGCTTGCATTATATTTCTGTTGGACAGAGCTGCTCTTGATAGCATTGGCCCCTCACCCCTGTACACTGTGTTGTATAATCTCATTAACAACTCTGTGAGATGAGACAAGTGGGGTGACCTGTTCCATTTGACTGATAAGGAAGGTGGGACTCTGTGTGGTCAAATGACTCCGTCAAGGTTATACAGCCAGGAAGGGTGGAGGCTAGATACAAAGGGGTGGAGGTTTTTCTGACTGAGACCCGCTTTCCAAGACAATCCAGAGAGATGCGTCTCTCTCCAAGTTGGCTTTGACCTGCCCTGGACCACTCAGTCCTCCCAGCCCCCGCTGAAGACACTCCCCTCCACCCCCACACTCTGGGAAGCTCCTGCTAGAAACACCCCTCTGAAAGCCCCATTAAAACTAAGGGCTCTTGGTCCTCCATTGAAGCCAGAGTCTGATCTCACATTAGACGCTGGCCTATGATTCCTGCATCAAAGCTGGTGCCTTTGCCCTGTCGTTGCTGGCATGCTCATTTGTACCTGCCGCCATTCACATAAGTGCCCCAGAGCAAAAGAAGCTCTGGCCACGCTTGCTGGGACACACCCACTGTCCCTCCCACTGGTGATCATCCCTGCGCCCTCCCCACCTGTGTTCTACCCCTTTAGCCGCCTCCTTGGAGATGAACATATTCAATGAGGCTAAGGGACTGTTTCTTTAATTTTCCCCCTTGTCCGTCCCTGGAACGTGATAAAAATACCCAGCATTGATCTTTTTTTCTTCCCCTTCTGCCGGGGATAGTGTTTACCGAGGTGTCAATCAGGAGAAGAATTTGGCTTCCTAATTTCTCTTCTCGTCCCTGGGGGCCATGCATCTCCCCGCCTCACATGGACACTGAGCTGGAATCAAGGTTACTAATAATCCCCCAGCACACACAGACACCGAGAGCACATATATTAAAGTCATATATTGATTTATATTTTCGGGTCCCTCTGCCTTTCTGCCCAGCCTCAGCCTTTCTCTCTGCCAAGGAGAAAAAAGAATTACACAGCTATATTTATCACCAAGATGTTTAGTGTAAAGAGCATTGTGTCCGAAAGTAATTCCCATCTCAGCCCTCTTTGGGGGTATTTTTTTTTAAATAGTGTAGTCTCGCCCATCCATAAGCGTTTATCTTTTATTGTCCATTCTTTAACTTTTCCCTGAAGGAAGAAGTGAGACATTTAAGGTAGACTGTCAGATGGACTTCCTGATTTGACAAACAGTGGCTGTCATCCCCAAGGAGCCTGGTGGAGTTGTCTTGCCTGTGGAGATAATAATCCTGTTGCAGGTGTGGGAAGGAGGGGTGGGTAGGAGGTGTGTGGAAGGTGAGGCAATGGATTCAGTAACTTCTAGAGGTCACCTACCAGTCCAAATGGCACCTCGTCATTAGTGACTCACCACCTATGGTCCCATTTCACAGTTGGGAAAATCAAGAAGGTGAGGAGTTAGTTTACTTTCCACTGGGGTTTCAGCCTTTGCTTCCATTTGGACCCTAAGTTTGATGGGGGAAAAAAACATTCCTCCAGGCATAAGTGACTCCTGCCCTGAGGAGTCCAGGCGAGAGCACAGGTCTCTGGGTGGGGGGAGGTGGAACTGGGAAGGAGGACAGCCTGGAGATTCTCATTCTTTAAGGTGAGATAGAGGAAAGGAAGTGCTCTCAGAGCACTAAGCCTCCCCCCACACCTCTCCTCCCACCCAGAACACTTGTCACTCTGTTTGGCAGGGCAGCCATTTAAAAATGTCAAACTATTTGACTCCAGTTCCCTCAAGGGAGCTCTTGGAATGGAAGCAATGCTGAACATGGGGACTCACACACAGACTCAGCACCATTTTCTTCATGCTCGTTGGAGAGTTTCCTTCCTTCACCCATCCATCATCTCTTTTATTTTTCACGAAAGCTCTGGGAGGGAGAGGGTGTCAGCCTCATTTTACACGTGGGGAAACTGAGGTTAAATAACATGCCCAGGGTCATACAGCAGGGAAAAGGAAGCCTCGACAACAACTCAACTTCCCAATTCCTCTGCAGAGCTCACCTCCATGCCCCTACCATGGGCGCAGCCTCCTGGTACTCAGCCTTTGGTGACCTTCAGATCTCTCCAGTCGGCTTTGCTGGCCTAGCTTTAGGGTCCTGGGTGTCTCGGCTCACCTCCAGGCCCAACTAGCTCTTCATCCTTGGTACTGGACAAGCAGTTCCTCTTCAGAATGTGCCCAGATGCACCTGGGCTAGGGGTCAAAACCTTCCCTGATGGAGCCTGACCTCGGTCCCCTCGCCTGCCCAGCTTCTGCCAGGGACTCAGGGGGGTTGGCTGCCCCCTGAGTGCCCTTTGGTATTTTCCAGAAGCTAGGTTGAGGTGTTTACAACCCAGTGTCCTTCACTTCATTCTGGAAACTATTTTACCCCCTAGCAGGGCAGAGAAGTAGAGCCATGATATGCCAGCCAGGGCACATTTATGGTGTTGACCAGCACAATAACCCTGCAAGGGGAAGTTTGAACCGCATGATGGGGAAACCCAGGCTCAGGGAGCAAAAGTAACATCTCCTAGGTCACCCAGAGGGTGAGAGGGGTTACTAGGGTTGAGTCAAGTCCGTGCGACCCAAAGTCCTTGCTTTGGAGCTCCCTCTTTATCTCACTGCCCCTCCCAGGCTGTCCCCATTAGACAGGCTGGGTGAGGGCAGGGGCCAGACAGCACAGGGCGCAGCGGGAATCAGCAACGAGGATGCTCTAGGGGAACTTCTCCCATTGAAAATCTGTTCCCCTCGCGGCCACGGGTGATGTATGGCTGGAGCTGATGAGAAACGTGCAGCGGAAAAGAGGGGGGCGGCGCGGGCGGGGGCAGCGCGGCATTGAGATTCCGCGGGGCGCAGGGGGGCGGCGCAGGCCCTGACACGGGTCGGGTAATTGATCTGGAGGTGCCAATTTGCAGCAACTAAATATTTGGTTTCTGCCTTTGCCCGCTCCGCACTCTGCTCAAACAAACTTCAATTAAAAGCGAAAAGCGAGCGGTGGCGGGGCGGCGCGCCCGGGTCCCCGCGGTCCGATCGATGGCGCCGAGCCTGTGGGCTGCCCAGCGCGGCGCGCCGGGCTGGGGGCACCGCGGACGAGGGCGGGCCTGGCGCCCTCTTCCGGATCGGTGAGCACCGGGCGCCCGGCCCGTGAAGGCGGTGCTTTCAGCTCGGAGCCGTGGCTTGATCTCAGCCCCGCAGAGCAGAGGAGGGCGCCCGCTTTTTTTTTTTTTTTGCCAAATGGGGGACACATACAGAGCCAACCTTGACACTCCCACTCCGTATGGACGTCCAATCCTGTGTGCTCCGGCAGGGATCGCAGAGAAGGAGGGGCCCCAAGGCACTGACCCTCTCTCCCAATGCACCCACTACTTTGATGATGGCCTTGCTAGTCACCAGCATTCACTCAGCATCTTTCCTGAGCATCGCTGGGTGCCTGGTGCACTAGGCAAAGAGTCTATCTCCTCTCCAGCGTCTGCCCTGCTGTCTACCCTTGGGTTGGCCAAATAGCCAAGAGGGTGAATCCACCCAAGGCACAACCTCTGGTGGGGCCTGAAGGAGAGGGTCTGGAATGGGGAGGAGCAGCCAGATGCTGGGGAATTGGGGAGGGGGCCTGGGGAGGTGGCTACAGCCTGGAGCAGGGGAAAGGATCATTGGGCCACAGCTGCCTAATATTGGGGTTCAAGACAAACACAGCAACAGTAGCCATCCAGTGGGTGGACTTAGTCCCTGGGGAAGTTTATGTCCATCAAGCATCTTTCACTACTTTGGGAGAGAGACCCCAGTGCTGGTAAAAGGAGCTAATCATTGGTGCTGGGAAGCAGGGAGACCTCAGGTTCTGCTGGGTAGGGCAGCCTAGGGGGTAGTTAAGACAGTTCTGGGAAAGATGTGAGGAGGGATGGAGGTGGGGGTGGAGTTGATAAAGAGGCATCAAGTCAGCACAGAAGGTAGGAGTAGATCAAATGGATGGAAAGTGGGAGGAGGAGGGCTGGGGTCCTTTCATCTGAGTGAAAGCTTCTTGAGGGCCAGAGCTGGGAAGTAAGGCAGAGGGGCTGGGAAGGTAAGTGAGGAGGTCCTTGTCCCCTCCCACATTACTGTGTCCCACCTTCTGGGGTGGAAGGATGCTTCCAGACTTACCCCTTCACCAAGTGAGGCTGTTGCAGGTCCCCTCAGCTGCAGGCTGCAGCCCCTTTCCTCCCCTCCTCCCTTTTAAACCTCTTTTCCCTGGTCCCCAGGATCCCATTGGTCTGTGGCTGGGTGTGGAAGCACAGGTCCTAGCTGTGTGGGCCCCAGCTTCCAGGTACTCAGATGGTCCTGGGGGGCCCCCCTGGGCCATGGAGATCTGGATGCCATCCTCATTCCCAAACACAGGGCTCTGGGGGAGATTGGTCTCACCATCCCTCTTCTGTCCCCCTCTACTCCAAGCAGATGCCCCACCTCCTGGGCCCTCCTCATCAGCCCTCAGTCCCCAGTTCTCTTTGTGGCTTGAGACAAGAGTCTCTTCACAGAGTAGCTGGATCCAGAGCTCCCTGTGAGGATGAGGACGACCCCCTACGCTGACCGCCCCCAGACGCCTCCCCATCTACCCCTGCTCTCCCACTCTAGTCCCTCCCTGGGGCTGCAGCATTACCCACCTGAAGCCAGAGCCCCTTCCCACCTGTAAGCTGGGACGTACTCCCTCACATTCCCTCCCTCGCTCTCCCTGGGCGCTGAGCTGTGGAGCAGAATGATTTCCTGTAATTGGCCAGCAATCCGGCTGCCCGACTTGTTCTATCGACATGCTGGTTAGCTGGAAATTGTATTGGAATCTGAGCGACAGGGAGGGGAGGAGAGGGAGCAAAGGAAAGAGGCTCTTTGGGCCCCAGCTGGGTGCAGCCTCAGCTCTTCTGGTGGCACAGAGGAGCCACCGGCCACATCTCCCCTCCAGGGGAAGGAGAAGGAGAGCAGCCCACAGCGCGTCACCACCTCCTTTGTCTTGCTCCTCTCTCACCATCTCTGGGGCCTCCCCTGCCCACCCCATGTGGCCCTGTGGCCTCAGGTCATTACTGCCACCCCATTTCCTCCCCTAGGATTGGTTCCTTCTGACCTGGAGTACCTTTGTGAGGACGAGGGGCGCCCAGCAGCCCTGACTGTCCCCCTCCCATCCAATTTCTAGCCATGGTGGTTCATTAGGGAGTGTCACAAACCTTCCCATGCTCCTCCCTTCACCCTCCCCAAGGACAGAGAGAGACTGAACATCTGAGAAAGAGTTGACAGTAACTCCTAGATAAAGACCCAAGTAGTCCTTAATGGGGGCAGTGCAGGTAGTGGGAGGGGCATTGTGCTGGGAGTCCAGAGCCCGGTGATTACACCTGTTGGTTACTTGGGCCTCTGTGTCTCAACCTCTGAGCCTCTAAAATTCTTGCCTGGCCTCCTGCCTTCCTTCTTAGCGTTCAAGGAGGTTAACTGCGGAAATGCGCTTTGCAAACTGCTCTGCTAATTAGCCTCGGGCCAGCCTGGGCCTGGGGATAGAGGTGGTTTTAGGGGCCAGCCTGTCCCCTTCCTCCCTCACCCAAGGCCGGTGCGCCTGCAGCCCTCGCCGGCCTCTTTATTGCTCCGCTCCCGGGTGGTGAGGCCCAAAGTGAGGGGGATGGAGCGCAGGGCCTGAGCGCGCGGCTGGAGGGTGAGACGCCTGGGTCGCATGCCAGGCCCCCTCGCACGGGGTGGAATGGGGACACATACCTCCGCCCCGCGGCGCCCGGGTTGCGGGGGGCTCGCAGCTCCAGCAAAGAGGACGCGGCGAGCTTGTTATTTAGCGTCCGGGGCTGGACAGCGTCCCTGCGTCGCCGCCGCTGCCCCTGGGCGGGGCATCTGACGCGGTCCGCAGCCCCGGAGGAGAGGCGGGAACCGCACCGGGAGAAAAGTTAGTAACCGCTCGGCAAGCGTCCGCCGTCGAGGCCCGACCCCAACCCGGGTGGGTGCTGCCACCTGCCGGCCGGAGGGGAAGCCGCCAGCCCGGGTTCGGGGCTGGGGCTCCCGGTGGTCCGGCTCCTGCTCTTTCCTCCAGAGCAACCTAGACGTGAAGTCACGCCCCGGGGAAAGTAGGTCTCCTTGTAAGGCCGCCTTGGGCCACCAAGTGTGGGAAAGGGAGGCCGTGGGGAGGCAGGCAAGAGGAAGGGGAGTAGGAGCTGTAGCGGGACCAGGGCAGAGGAGGACAGATGGTGTTTTCTCCACACCCTCCAGGCCGGCGGTCCTCTGACATTCTTGCATCACTCAGCAGATTGGGTCAGGGAAGAAAATAATTCTTTTCAACTTCACACTTTGCGAAGGATTTTTGCCATCCTCCATTTATTAAGTTCTTTGATGTAAGCATCATGAAGCCTACTTGAAGGAATAAACCAAAGGCAGGTCACATAAGTAGGAGACATAGCCCAGTGGACCAGAGCGATCCCAGGTCTGCTCCTCCTGGGGAGGCCCAGGGGCACAGCGGGCAGAGTTCTGAAGCCTGACTCTAACTGGAATCAAATCTCTCTCATTGGGCCTGGAATCAGCAATAATCAATGTTATGTTACCTCTGGGGTGTCACACATCCAGCAGTGTCCAGCATGTTACATACAGGCTTTCACAGTCATGTTCTCAGTGACTAGGGCACTGGGAGGGGTCCAAATCTTTCCTCCTTCTTACCAGTTCCCAACAAACTGGAGAAGCAGGTGCCTTCTGCCATTCTCATCCTGCCCTGGTCCTTCCCTACACACAGCCCGCCACCTCCTCAATCAGCCTTTGCCCCTCCTGGGTTTGCAGTGAGTTAATGAGCTGGTCTCTGAAGTATGAGCAGCTCTGGGAAAGGGGGCATTAAATATGGCCACCACAGCATTCTCATTTGTCACACTCACTTCTGGCCTTAATAGGCTGCTGGCCACAGGATCAACTCATCAGCAGGTCTTCCGGCTCTGGCAATGGGAAGCTGATGTCTACACGGGTCTAATTGGGTTGGGGAAGGAAGATGGAGTACGTAGGTGTGATGCTGCCCCAGTACCTGCACCCACCCCTCATGTAGGTACAGCTGAACCTGACTGGAGTCCTCCTGGGGCCGCAGGAGAAGTCAGAGGGCAACTGTACCTTCTAGGGCTGGGGAAGTGAGGGGCCCAGGTCTTATTGTGGGAGACCAAGAGTAACCCCAAATGGTATCAGCCAAGTCTGGGAAGCTCAGTCAATCTGCATGTTAGGGGAACAGCAGCAGCCCAGGGCATTTCAGATCAACACACTTTATTCAGCACCAGGGTGAATCGGGCTCTGCACCAGGAACACAGAGATGAATAAGACATAGTCCCTGCCCTCAAAGGGCTTACAGTCTAGTAGGCTTTTGGCTCATGGATTCAGGTAAAATGTGGAGGTGGTTGGGATCTCACAGCACCTAACCCAGCCTGGGGCTCTAGATGGTGCCTGAGCTGGAAGTTAGCCAGTTGCAGAAAAAATAAAATAAGGTGGAGGGAAGGTATTCCAGATTGGGGGAGCAGCCAGGCAAAGGCACAGAGGTGAGAAACATCCTGGTGCATGTAGACTCAGGCGAGGAGTACAAGGAGCAGGAGGTAGGAGCAGGGTGCAGGGAGTGCCGGGGAAATGCCATGGTGGGAAGGGTGTCATCCCAGAAGAGACCTGGCCTCTTAACCATAAGGGGATCCTTACTGCATCCTGGCCAAGGGCTTCAACCTATGGGAGAATCCTGTTTGAAGGTGGCAGCCCTTGGTCCAAAATGACATCCCATGGTTCAGAGAGGGGCTTTTAGCCATGATGGGGCATGTGCTAGGACAGATTCCAGCCCAGGAAACCTCCCAGCTTTAAACACAAGTGAGGGCCACAGAGAGTGCTCCTCATCCTCACCCGCAAGAAATTCCTAATGGTCACCTGTTGTTGCTTTCACACCCCCTCATGGACACTGATCGGTGGTTCCAAAAGGAGGGGCCCTGGGGAAGATGGGAAGGAGAAACAGAGGGCTGTTTCTCTGCCTGGGACACGAGGCACTCCAAGGAAGGGTGAGCCCGGCACAGGGCTCCAGCTCAGATTCAGAGTGTGTGTGTTGAGCTGGGAGGAGACAGGATGCATTTGTTACCTGGTTCCAGCCTCTGAGGAGATGGAGACCTGAGAATTCCTGCCCCCGAGGGTCCAGCTAGGGGGAAGGCAGGAGGTAGTGGGTGAGCAGGTAGAGGAGACTGGCAATGCCAGCCAGCCCTGTGAGGACCCCGAGCCTTAGTGGCAGGTACTCCAGGGAGCGCTCCAGCTCTGCATGGAGGAGGATCACCTGGCGTTTGGTGACGCTCCACTCGCCTGAGTTGTCGAGCACATGGTGGGCCATGCGGGCCTTGTCCTTCAGGGGCAGCTGGGCCTTGATCCGGGCCTCTGCGTCCTCACGGTTCAGGTTATTCCGCTGCATCAGCCGGGCCAGCTGTGTGTCCCGGTCACTAAGGACCAGACAGAAGAGCTGCTCAGGCACTGCAGGCCTCGGCCTTCCTCCCACCAGCACATTACATGGGTGACCGGCCCTGGAAACGCACTGGCTCCCCCCACCTCACTCTGTGAGGACACTAGTAGCACGAGGGGCTACCTAAAAGCCCCTTAACATAAACGGGGAGGAGAAAGGGGATAGTAGTTGTTTTCTGCCATTTGGAGTCTCTCTGCTTTGCTACTAGGCTCAAGATTCCCCAGTTTTAAGATGGGAGGATTTGAACACCTGGAATCAGCTACATCCTGCATCCCTGGATGGGTGACCTTTACTGAAAGGCCCGTGCCCACAAACTACATGCTTTTTGTAGTTTCCCTGAGGGCCTGGGCCTGCTGCATTAAAAACAGCTTCCCAGGCCTCCACAGAGACCCCTCTTCTTGTCTCCCCGCTCCCACCCTGCACATTTAGAGCAAAGATGGTAGCCGCTGCGCTTGATGCCACTGATGAAGTAGGACAGACACACCCCAAGGTGCTTCCAACAGGAGCAAGGCCTTGAGAACTGGATCCCCTCAGTCCCTGGGACAGGATGAAGCACCACAGACTGAGTCAAGCAACACCCAGGATCCCAACTCCAAGGGATTTTCAAAGGGTACGTCTTTCACGCACTCTGATATTACCACTTGACCTGCTTCTCGGCAAACTCCCTGTCCTGCTTTTGGCTACCCAGGAACTTCCCAGCTGTCCTCTGGAATGGGGTCATCTCTAACACCCCTCGAGCTCTAGGACCCGCAATGGGAACAAGGGGGAAAGGGCTGCAGCAGCTGTTCCTGCCATCTGGGGTCTCTCTGCTTTGCCACAAAGCCTGCATTTTCCCAGTTATAAGATGGAAGGATTTGATCACTACAGTTTGGCTGCCACCTATAAGTGGCCTAGACCTGAGGGCCAACTGGGATGTGAAGACAGACCTTCCAAGGACAGGCATTACCTGAACACTAGCTGGTTCCAATGCCACTCAGAACAGAGTGCTGCAGAAAGTCATTTCTGGCTGGCTGATCAGGGAAGACTTTGTAGAAGGATGGCATTTATATTGGCCTTGAAAAGTAGGTAAGACTTCTGATTTCCTTTGTTATGTGGACCGCGTACTATCAAGGTCATGGGGCCATACCCTGCCTGGCTGAGAAAAAGGTGCAATCTTACTCTGCAAACCTGTGGCTGGGTAAATCTGGGTGAGAATGGAGATGACTTGGGCCACCATTAAGTGCACATCCTTCAGAAACTGACCAAGACCAGTGGGGTGTAAAGGCAGAACTCTCCAACAGCCCTTCCTGGAGCTCAAGGATAGTCCTGTATGGTTAGTTTAAGGACTGATGTTTTTTGTGGTAATGGAACTTTTGCCCAAACGTTTATGCCACAATTGGCAAGTTTCTCAAAAAAGTAAATAATCACGTTTTGGTATAATTACACTTTGGTAAATCTCCCATATTATTTCAAATGCACTGGGGTAGTTTGCCAGTTAAAGGCATCCATGAGAGGCTCTGTATACTTATAAAGTGTAGATCCCTTTTATGAATAGTAAATAATCACTCATTCATCTCTTGGGCATCTCTTGCTAGTTGTGCCACCACATGTGGTCAGAGTGGGACATGTACAGCACCTGGGATTCTGGGAAGGGCTCTTCTGGCTGGTGAGTGGGGCTGGAGGATCTCCTGGGGAGCAGGAAGAATCTACAAAGCCCCACTTATCTGCGAGGGTCCACAGCTGTCACTGCTCTCAGCAAGCAGATCAACCTAGAAGGACAGCGCAGGAAGAGGGAGGTGGCAAAGGAAGGTGTGGAGTCACCTGGAACTGCAGATGCAACCAGCCCGTTCTGTTTTCTCACCTACACTCTCAAGATTTTTTCATTTTGGATCCCGTGGTACAAAGTTTCAGTTGTGTTAAAACTCCAAGGCAAAGAGAATTCTGTCTTCACAGGGTCTGCTTGGCCTCGGGTGACAGTCTTTCACAAACAGGGAACAAAGAACCCAGAAAAGCTGCAGCTTTACATGGGAAGACACAGGCTAACGGGGGAGCTAAGAGAATGCCTGTCCCTGCACCGGGCTCAGTGGACCCAGACGGCCTTTAGTTGACAGCCCACGGAGGGGAGGGCAGGGCGATGCTTAGGGCACCGAGCCCTCCAGGCCCCGTCTCCAGTGTGCTGGGAGCCTCCCACGCATTAGTCTCTTGAGAGCCACTCTGTGCCCAAAATACCCACAGAGCCAAGTGCCCACCTCTGTGTCTACTGTACTTGTGGGTGGCATCCAGGAAGTTTCTGGAAGGCAGAGGTACCCCGCAGCCTCATCTACAATCTCACCCTGCTGGGACTATGACTCATTTTCTCTGACAGTTTGATCCTCCTCTGTTTGCCAGACCTGGATTCTGGTTTGCGTCATGTCCTGGGGGATTCTGAGAACAAAGCTCCTTCCTTAGCTGGGCTCTGACAGATCCATCTCCACAACTTTCTGTTTGTAGGTGTTGCCAATGGGTGACCCTGGACAAATTCTGCAACTCCCCCGTTGAATTTTCTCTCCTATAACCCAGAAATATCAACTCCGTCCTGATCACCTCAAGCTGAGAGGTAAACTGAGTGAAATAATAAATATGGGAGCTGTTTGGAATGTTGAGAAGCGCTGCAGGAGGGAAAAGGGAACCAGTGAATGATAACAAGGTAGCCAAGGGCAGGGCCGGCATCTGGGCTTAAGTGCCTCCAATGGCCAGCAGAGGGAGCGCTTCACAAGCACTAGAGAGACCTGGGGGCCACCACTCCCCACAGCCACCCCCAGGCATATCTGGGTCTGGTACAGAAGTCAGTTTCTAAGGCTCTGGGCACTGCTGCCCACACCCCTGGGCCTCCTGGCCACCTCGTTGGGAAAGGGCAAATGAAGTGGACCATTTCGCAGGTATATGCCTTAACCCAGGGGTCCTCTTTTCCAGCCTTGGTCAGGCCAGGCCATGCCATACACTCACCAGTATACTACCACCGTGTGCTTCATGTACTTGAGCAGCTTCTTGGTCTCAAACAGCAGAGGGATATCCAGAATCACGTAGCGGTATCCTGGGGAGAGGCCAGGAAACCCACAAATTCAATTCTGCAAGCACACATAGGACTATGTGCTAGGTGTGGAAACAGAGTTGAAGCCACTGTCCCCTATCATCAAGAGCTCCCCCCAGAGGGGGATACCTTCCCAGGAGAGGCATAACCTGAATGCCAGCCAGTTCCAATGTCATTCAAAAAAGAATGCTGCAGAAAGTCATTTTTGGGTGGATGGTCTGGGAAGACCTTATGGAAGGGATGGTATTTGTACTGGCCTTGAAAAGCAGGGAGGGCTTCTGACACTTGAAAATGAGTGTGTGGAGGTGAGGGTTCTGGGAAGGGGAACAGCTCAGGCTGAAGTAGAGGCCTCAAGCAGAGAGACAGAGCTGACAAGGTGGTCAGGGCAGTCACAAAGGGTGGAGTTCACTTGATCTTGAATCCGAAGAGCTGTTATTTCTAAACAGAAGAATGACACAGCCAGAGCTGTAGGAGACTAGAGGGAGTTTCCAGGAGTAACTGGGCCCTTTCTGCCCTACTTCACCCCCTTATACAAAAAAAAAAAAAAGAAAAAAGAAGAGAGAGAGAGAGAGAGAGAAAGAGAGAAGTGATAGGTTCTTCCCCAAAAGCCAGGTCCAAGCTTGGCTCCCTGCTGAGGAGTCCTGCATGGCTATCCTTGCCACTTCTCCAGGAGAAACTCATGTTGTGGGGGAGCAGCAGAAGCCCCCAAAGGAGAGGCTGCTTCTCGGCATCAGAGTCAGACCTCCAGCCAGGGATTACAGGTACTGGTTTGGAGGTGGTGGGGTGGTTGTGACTAACACTGTATAACCAACTCCAGTGGGATAAAAGGCACTGACTACCGTCCCACTACAAGCCAAGGCCAGTCAAGGGCGGCACCCTCACCCACTGGGAGCAGGCATGTCCCAGGGCTACTTGCCCAGAAACACCTTGGGCTCTTAGTTCTCTTTACACTGGTGTCCCCCGTGTAAGTGTAGAAAAGCTGGGGTCCAGGAGTGAGAGAAAGGGATGGGCACTGGTTTTTGACCAGAGACCCCTGCCTGGCTTGGATGATGTCCCACTAGAAACATTTCCAACCACAGAAGCTGACCCACATCATACCGATCCCAGGAGCATCATGGGGAAACTGGCACTCCACGTGATACAGGAAACATGGTGACAGCCCAAGCCACTGGGTTTCCTGTCCCTCAGGACCCACTGCTCAGGAAGCCCAATTCTCTTCAGTTGAACCAGGGGGTTAAGAGAATGGGCTCCAATGACACACCTTGGTTTTGTAGCCCGCACTTTCCCACCACATGACTTTGGGCTCCTTAACAAACCTCACCTGTGTAAATGAGTGACGATGATCTACTTCACAAGAAGAGGTAACGATTGCATGAGTGAATCATGTAAACCTCCCAGCACCCCTCACTCAGATCCTCTCTAAACGCTCCATAGATGATGGTTATTATGACTGTTGCTCCCTGGATGAGGAAGGCCAGCAGCGCTGGCTCCCCTACTCCTCTCCAGCCCAGAACAGGAGCCAGAGGAGCGAGAGCAGATCCTCCCCGGGCCTCTTATCTCCCTTTTCTGCTCGGCTCCCATCCCTACCCCTCCCCTCACTGCCCTTTCTCCTCGGCCCCTCTCGGGAGCTCGCGGCCAGCTCTTTGGATCGCTGGCAAAGGGCTATTCAGCTGTCACATCCCTCCTGCTTGATAAGCTCTGCAAACCATCCTGACTCTATTAAGACATCCGTCTGCCTACGCGGAGACCTCCCAACAGCTGGTGATCTTATCTGACGTTTGATTATACCAAGTCTGACAGTTGTATTTGTTATACTCATCAGGGGAAAACTGGGACTGTGGAAGCCACAGCTGTCGTCCCCATTTTTTACCTTATCGAGCTGAAACGAGCTTTCTGGCTTTTATTTAAGTGGTGGTGGTTGGGGAGAGGGGAGGCTGGGTGGATGACACAGCGGGAGGACTTTGGAGCGGGTGACATTATCCAATGCTTAATTTCAGGAGGAGAGAGCCGCTGCCACCTCAAAGCCCTGCAGATGTACTTGCGCCTGGCCTGGGAGTGAATGCAAAAGGGCAAGAATGAAAGGCAGAAGGCCTTGCTCCTGGGGGGGTGGAGGGTGGGGGGGGTAGAGGGAAGGAACAGAAGGAGTCCTGGCACAGACACAAGGGGCAGGACAAAGGCAGCAAGAGTCCAGAGACATCTCTTGAGGGAGGAGGGAGGGAGGAAGGCCTGTGGCAAGATGGAGAGTAAAAGCTGGTCCAGCAGGGAGGATGCCTGGAGCCAGCCCTGCCTGGCCAGAGCCAGGCAAGGGGAGGGGGGTCAACATCAAGGATGTTGGTCAAGTCATCCCTTTCCCTCTGGAGGGAAGTATTTGGCCAGAGGGGGACGGGGGTTGGGGGAAGGTCCCCACTCTGTCCAGGAGAACCTGATGCATGAGACAGTAAGTGCTTTGGCCATGACCACAGTGCAAAGCCCAAAGAAAACCAAGAAGGCTCCTCCATACCCTCTAGAAAGCAAAGTCTCAGCCTGGTGACGGACTGGAGAAACAAGCAGCCAGGCCTTCAACTTGGAGCCTGGGCTGGAGGCTCTGTGTCCCAGAGGCTGGCAGGCAGCTCTGCAGGATCCCTGGGCCAGCCTCTCGCCTGATCCCAAGCCACTGCTCTCGGTTCTCCCACTTCTGCTGACTGGCCCATCCTGGACAGTGAGGATTGGGCCACCCCTGCCCAACACCATCCTGAACAACAGCGCTTGGACTGTGGCTTAGGAAAGGCTGCTGACAGCTGCAGGGGAAGGTTCTTGCCAAGTGACCCCTGCTTTTCAAACACTCACCCTTTCCTTTAGTCCTGGCACATGAGCTGGATGTCCCTGCCATGCCAGGCTAACTCTCTCCACAGAGGCTGGGCCCCAAAGGATAATCCTCCACTTAGAACCCCACCCCCACCTGCCCTGGCCATCCTGGAGCCTCCCCAGCTCCCACTCTGCAAACTTACTTTCCCAGGCGGGGAGGGTACAGTTCAAGTGGTAGAGCGCATGCTTAGCATGCATAAGGTCCTGAGTTCAATCCCCAGTACCTCCTCTAAGAATAAATAAATAAATAAACCAAACTACCCCCCTCACCAAAAATAAATAAACAAATAAAAAGGAAAATTAAAACAAAAACAAAAAAACTTACTTTCCCAAACAGCGCCAAATCAGACTCTGATCCCGGTTTCCACTTGCGTGGTGATCGACAGTGGACTCTTCGACCCCCCTAAGAGCTTTTCGAGGCTGGAATTACTAGCTTCACTATGCAGACAAGGAAAACGGGCAGAGGGGCTGGCTCACCCGATAGTCACGCAGCTAGAAACCAGAAACCGTGAGGGCCAGGACTTAAACTCAGGTCTTATGACTCCTTTATTCATCAGCTCTTATTTCACCCATCCCTCCTAGAAAAATCAACTTTCTGGGGTTCATGGCTCAAAGCCTCAAGTATCTCCTCTCATTAAACTATCAGCCTCCTTGGGTTAAAGGACATCACCTCTGCCCTCTGGGGCTGGTACAGGACTGCATGGGGGGATGCCAGTGAACAACAGGAGCTCAACAGTCTGAATGATAGCCAGCTCCCTGCTCTCCAGCCAACCTTTCTGCAGAGGCGAAGGGCTCAGGCCCTGGGAGGAGCGGGCTTTGCCACACCCGTCCCAGGTCCCGATTCTTACCCCGGAGAAAGTACTTGAAGGTCTCCTTCACCATTTCCTTGAAGATCTCAGGGTGGGTGATGGTGTTGAGCAGGTGCCGCCGGTCAGGCTGGTTAAAGATCAAGTCCCCCAGGACCTTGCGATCGATGTCGCCGTTCTCCAGCAAGACCTCGGTGCCGAAGGCCTCCACAATGCGCCGGTGGGCGGGGCATCCCGGCTGGACGACTGTGGCACAAGGAGGAGTCTGGGTCACTGTCTGGAGCCTCCAGGCCAGTCAAAGGACTCCGAGTGACCAGAGGCAGAATGATGGGGGAACCCAGGGGTGCTTCTTTCAGTTGGAGCAAAAACAAAATGAGGGGAGGGAAAGCAGTTGAGGAGGAGAGCAGAGTGCACAGAACCCCTGGCACTGGTCACGGGATGGTGTGAACGGGAGGGAAGAGTGACTGAAGAGCCAGAGGGCCAGCCTGGGGCAGGGAGCAGGGGGCCAGACCAGGGCTGATGGCAAAGTCCTCCCCTACTCTGAGGCCTAGAAAGGCCTTTTAGAAAGGTGAGGCCCGATGGAAGAAAGGCAGCACAGGGCGCTGCCCTGTCCCACCCCCAGCCCGTCCCCCAGCTCACCGAGCCGGGCAAGGACGTCCACGTCAATCACCGCACAACCCAGCTGCTGGAACACCTGGATCACTGAGCTCTTGCCTGAGGCAATGCCCCCTGTCAGGCCCACCAGGAACATCTTCCCAGGAAAGAGGGAGGTCAGTGAGGCTAAGCCAGGAGCCAGGAGTCACTGGAGGCGAAGCTTGGCAGGTCGGGAAGGTCCCCCACAGGAACACCAGAAGGACCCGCCTGTCAGACAGAGCAGACCTGGTCAGTGTGAGGCCAAAAGACTAGGGCAGAGGGAGGCAAAGGTGGCCAGGGAGAGACACAGCCCGGCCAGCCAGAGCCATGTCCCGAACTGGGTCCACTGGAGACAGAAAACTCTTCCGGTATTCTTTTAAAAAACACTCAGAAGGCAAACCAACATTGTGTAAATTTAGCAATCAAAATGCTGAGCAGACAGAACAAGGTCAGGTGCTGTTAAGCAGAGTGCTTTCTGGAGGTGGCAGTACCCCACTGTAGGCAAGCTTCCTGTAGGTAGGAGAACCTGTCACTCTGTGGTGAGCCCAAGGCATTTTCCAGATGCCCACAGAATGCCCCCAGCCTCCACTCTGTAGTCTGGGACATCAAGGCTCACAGGAAAGGTGTGGCCCGCCCGCCCCACCTTCACACCAGCACTAGGACGGCCTGAGGGTTAGTCTACATCAATAATCCCTCCTCCGCAGCCAAGAAGCACTACAGGTGGGGAGTTTAGCGGCAAGCGGTGGCTGGGTGGTCATTAAATCTGAAGTTTAGAGAAGTACAGGCCTTGCCAAGATGGAATGAGGAAAGGATGGCAGGCCTGATGTGGAGGTAACTGAGCCTGGCATCTTGACGTGCAGCTCTGAGACCAGCAGATGCAGTACAGCACAGAGGCTAGGAGTGCAGACCCCTTCAAATCCAGTTCCTCCACTTACATGCTGTGCAACCCAGGGCAAGTCACTTGCCTCTCTGAACCTCAGTTTTCTCACCCATAAAATGGAGTAAAATGGGGATGAAAGAACCTGCCTCGTAAGGCTGTTGTGCAAAATGCATGAGAAAATGCATCTAAGCCCTTGGCACCCTGCCACTGACATGGTAAAAGCCCAGGAAAGGAAGTGAGGATGGTGGGGTAGGGTGGAAGGTGGGGGTTACGGTCATGTTGCAGAGCACAGAGAAAAGACTTCCATGAAGTTAGGTCCCCATTCCCACAACCTCAGACTGTCTCACAATAGATTTTACATCAGGCTGCATTTTCAGGAGTAAACATGGTTACCATGTCTTGAATTTTGTTCCCAAGCTGGGAGAAATTAAATCGAAGGCCAGGTTTCTCTCATCCTTCCTTCAGCATCAAACCACTTCTCCAGGACTTTGTCAGAGGACTTAAGTAAAATTATTTATTTAATTTTTTTGTTAAACAGCAGATTTGCTGTCCTAATTACACTTTGCTTGAGCTTATACTGAAATGAATCTGACTCCCCTGAGGACACACCAAATGACAGGGGGAGGAGGCCACTTGGATGCGGGCTGAGTGGGTGGATGGCCTGGAGCGGTGGGGGGACCGACCCAGAAGTTTAAATCAGCCCAGGCTCGTTCTTACCCAGGGAAGCTGGAGCAGAGAGAGGAGGATACCCACCAGAGTTATCATCCAAATGGAGAGCTCAAACTGAATTATTAAATCATTTACAGAGCATTTCCCCTCAGTCTGTCTGAGACTAGTGTCGCCCCAGGTTGGTCTCCCTCCACCTTACAAAAAGAGGAGTTAAGAATTGGGTTCAGCTGTTAAAAATTTTTTCATCCACTCAGCTGTAGTTTTGAAATAGAATATCTAGCACCAGCGTTTTTAATCCCAGCTCTGTCCTGTTGTCTCTAAAGCAATGAGTCGTCTTCTCCTCCACTGAAGACCAGTCTGGAGGCAGGGGAGTGAGACTTGAGAACAGGCCACAGCTGAGGGGTGGGGCAAGGGCCAGTTCTCCACAGGGCCCTGACCACTCATGGTTGAAAGCAGGTCACTGTCACCTGATCACTCAAGTTTGCTGAGTGGGGTAGAGGGGCCTGGAAGACCACGTGGCCTAGCAGACCTGAGCTCCTGCCTGTACACGGGACCGGGACCCCTCTTGGGACCTGCTGAATCAGATCTCTGGGGGTGGAGGCACCAGGCAGTTCTGCTGAGTAACAGGGCTTGAGATGGGCTCTTCATTTATAGGGAAATACCAAGGATCAAAGAAGGGACTTGCCCAGAGCCACAGCTATTAGCAGAGCCTGGATGGAACGCAGAGCTCCTAACTCCGAGACTAGACCCCTGCCTTAAGGTACTCAGAGGATGGAAAATTAATTTATGTTTAGATTAAGTAAGACAAAATCAGGATGGCGCATCTGTCTGTAGGCAAATCAACACGGGGCCAAAGAAAAATGACTTCTTGATGACCACATTGGTGTTTTCCCTCTGCAGGATAGGGGGCCAGGTCTTGTGTTGGCCAACAACTAAGGCACAGATAGAAATTCCAGGCTCAGTTCTGCCCCAGGCTACAGGGGTAACCTAGTGAATACCTCCCCTTTATTGTCTTGGATGACCATCTGCAGAAACAGACCAACAGCTGCTTGGCCTCTGTCAAAAAGGCCAAGGGGAGGGAGGAGCACGTGCCCGGGGCGGCTATGGGTCCCTAGCTTAAAGGGCCTGGACAAACAACAGCTGTTCCTGTCCAACAAGCCCCTCCATACCTCACTCCTTCACTAACTGTGGACTGAGCCCCTCTGGGCTCTGCAGCGTGGCACTAGGAACCAAGGGAAAACACAGGTCTTGCCCCTCAGGAAAACTTAGAGAGATAGACAGTGACAAATGAAACCAGCCAAGAATAGAGCACTGACAGGTGAACGGGAGCAGTCACATGGTACTCACCCTGGGCCTGGGGAGGTTGAGGGGTGGCCCCCTCACAGGTCTGCACCAACCAAGAGCCCACTGTTCCCTCAAGGCTCAGCAAGAAGCAAATGAAGGTTTAGGTTCCAAGCTGCCTCAAAGGCCCCCCTGCCCTGGATCTGTCCCGTAGTTCCTCCCCAGGCACCTACTGGAGAAGCAACCACCTCTGATAACCTGTGTTCACAACCCTCTTCTTGCTCTGGCTCAAAAATCATCATTTTCCAGAATCCATTCCAGTTTCCCCTCATTCCACTGTCATTTACACGGAGGCAGTGGGAACCTCACATCAACTGCTAAACCTGGCTATGACCTGATTCCCCTGCGAAACTAGAAGAGGTGCAGAAACCCAGGCTCCCTGCTAGCCCCCTGAATCTGAATCTTGGGTGGAACCTAGCATCCTAGCTACCAAGGCACCAGAATCATGGCTAAAATGGAAGGTTGTGGACCAGAGGTTGGAGGCCTGGGTCCCAGCCTCTGTAATCTGCCGTAAAACTATCTGTGTGTCTGCAGGAAGCCTTCTTAGCAGCCTACCCAGCCCAGGGACGGAAGTGCTCCAGAAGTGAGAAACAGCTGAGCCCCAAACACCTGGCCCTCCCTGGGCTGCAGTCTCCACACCTGTGAACGAAGGGCTTGGACTTCCAGGCTAATAGCAGTAGCAGCCTCGGGGGAGACTGTGAGTCACATTGGTGCTTCCTCCCCACTGTGGTCCAGCAGTCTCCCCAGAGTGTCGATACAATGTTCACCTGTGTAGTTAAAAAATTATGTGACCACTGGTGGCTGGGACTCTTCCTTCTCAGCATCAGAGGCTGTTCATAGCGCTGGCTTTGCTAGAGAAGGAAGGATAACGCTGGGTCCCCAGCTACAGAGATCTGATCCGGAGCCTGGGATGCATCAGCCAAGGAGGGGAGCCACATCCAATCCTTTCTCTTCCCTCACTCTCCATGTCAGTGGAGAGGCAGCAGGATATAAACAAGGGGTAAGGACTAGAGTCAGAGGGGCGGTGTCTGCAGCCCCAGGAAGTGAGGATGGAATTCTCACTGCACTCCACAAATGGTGGGCCTCTCTCCCTGAGCCTCTCCTGATCGCCTTTTGGTTTCTACTTCTTGAATTCCAATAGCTCGGAGAAGACAAAGAAAATATATTCAGGGAAGAATGGTCTCTCCTGGAATCTCCTCTGGCAGGGTTTCTTAGGGGAAAAATGGAAGTGGACTGTTTCTCGGGCCTCCAGAGAAATAGCCCCACTGCCCCATGCTGTCTGTGGAGTTCCAACTCTACTGGGCCCACCCTGCTGACCTGAGCCACCAGCACCCTGTGCCCAGACTAATGCAGAAGCCTTGTGACCAGACCCTCCAGTCCCTGCCTTGCTTCTCCCAAGGCAGCCAGGGTCATGGCTTGAAGTAGACATCTGATCTCATCACTCCCCTGTTTAAAACCTTCACTCTTCTTCCTCCTCCTCCTCAACCCCTCACAGAGGTCTCTGGGTCCCATGTGACCTGCCCACTGTCGACCTCTGCCATCCCATCACTCCTTGTTCACACCTGTGCTTGTCACACACCTGCTTTCTGTCCCTGAGCAGGCAGGATCCTTCCTACCTCGGAGCCTCCACATATGCTGTTCCCCTGCCCACCACACTCACCTCCTGGCCAACTCCTCTTGATTCATTCTGCATTCATTCCTTCAACCAATCAGGTACCAGGCATTGTTCAAAACAAGGGTGCCTCCTCCACCCCAAGCATATTCTGAGGGAGGTAGTGAGAGGTGGTATATAAACAAAAAGCTCACCATGTGTTGTGGTGCTAAGTGGGGGAGGGTATCAAGAGCAATGGAGATCAGGGTTTTAAACAAGGGACCAAGGACGTCTCTCTGAGTGACGAGTTGAAAGCAGCAAGGGAGCAGGTTGCCTCTCAGTGCAGCCTCATCACCACCCCCACCCAAATCAGGCCCCTGACATCTCTTTCCATTTCCTCTCCTTCCTAGTACTCAATGTGCTTGTATTTGTTTGTGTGACTATGTGTTAGATAAAATAAGCCACGATCCACAACCAGTCTGTACCCTTCTGTCTCCAGCACCTAGCCTAGTGTCCAACGACTGTCACTTACCAGGTGAGAGATATTGGTCAAGTTATTTAACCTATCTTTGACTCAGTTTCTTCGTCTGTAAAATGGAGCTAAGGACACCTACTCTGAGTTAATACATACACTGTTCTAGCACTTAGAACAGTGCCTAGCACACATGGAGCCCTCAACCAATGTTCCCCTTTAGTTCGAGAGTGTTTGAAAACTATGCATAGAACGAATGATGGAATGACTCCATG